TAGAGCAGTTTCAGCTCTTTTTTTTTTTTTTTTTTTTTAAAGCGGAGACAGAAGTCAGTGAATTTTCTGTAATGGAGTATTGCATCAGTTTGTGTAATAGATTTCCATTTCTAGGTATTTTGTGGAGAGACTGGAGACAGACACACACACACACACACACACACACACACTCGCCCTAATAATAAACGGAAGGGGTAGAAAGTGAGGGAAAAAATAATGAATGGAGGGGATAAAAGAATCAAAGGAAGGGTAATAGAATGAAAGGAGAGATAAACAGTAAGCGGTAAAAGAATGAAAAATATAGATACATGGTAAGGAGTAAAACTATGAATGGAAATCCTACCCAGTAAGGAGAAAAATAATGATAAAGTGGATTTACTGTAGAGGTGAAAGAACGAAAGGGAAAGCATACATAGCAAGGAGTAAAACAATGAAATAAGAGGACAAACACTAATCAACTAAAAACATATTTGCGGCCTAAAGATGTTTAGCCTGTTCTAATTTTGGCCCCTACCTACTGCCAAGGTGTGCAGGTCTGTTCTAAAACAATCTGGACTCTAGAGTAAAGGCTCCATGATATTTGGAGACCATGGAAAGCATCTGACTAAGGGTTTAGGAATGGTTTCATGAACACAACGTTAAAGGACAATGGTTACCACAAAACATTTTTTAATAACAATCTTTTAATCATGTTTTGAAAGGAAACATACTATGTTTGATTAAGTATATGTAAACGAATTAGAAAAAAACTTATCCCTACCTTAGTATACGACAGGATCCCTCAGCCATATATGTTTGGTATATATTTTTAGAAACTAGATCCCAAGCCATTTAACCAAGAATTTTTAAACATGTATATCTTTTCCCCTAATCCTACCAATTATCCAACTCCAAATCCTGCCACAATTCATTCCCTGAAACCATCCCCTTAATCCTTCCTTAGTAGGATTCTCTCTGCCAACATCTGTAATGACATCAGCAGAGGGATTTCCCAGCTAACATCTCTATGGGCACTCAGTACTGTGTGATTGCAGCATGAGAGGGAGATCTCCATCTCATGCTGAAGCTCCTGAAACTGTGATCAAGGCAAAGCTCAGCACTGATCACTGGGCAGAGGGGCTTGCAGGGAAATTTCACCAGAGTCTTATAAGACAGTTGGGGTCTCCCTCATCATAGGAGCAGACTCAGAGTCACCTAGACTGAACGCAGCTTGAGTATTTAAAGTAATTAAAAGGGCTATGTGCCTCGCTTACTTTGAGTACTGCACATAACTCACCTGTCAGTCTAGGACAGAGTGAGCCCTCAGGTATCCAATGATACCAGCAGGGGATTTAATGCACGATGGTCTATTCCATTAATGAGTATAAAGCCCTACACTGAATGACTGCACAGACCATCATGTGGTCTTTAAGGGGTTAAATTTATCAGTGAATTAGAGAGACGTCACACTAGAACACCAGAACATCGCGAGGGAACAGCATACGTAATATAGATTTTGTGTGTGCCAACATATTTACAGTATGTATTTCAAAACTGATTTGTAGATGCAGCAACAAATTGCCCTTTTGTGGTTGACTATCCCTGTTATAAAGAAACACATTAAACTACTGACCACAATATGTTACTAAACTTGCATTACAAAGGTTTTAGGCATTTCTTAAAGCAGCTCTGTCAAACCCCCAATCCAAAATGCAAAATTAGTATTTCAAGAAGATAAAATCTTTGTGAAATACTTACATTGACTGTGTTGAAAGTACTTATACAATTGCTATATATAGGGGCTACTTTGTCTTAATATTTTCCTACACTTAAAAAAAGGCAGAGCTACCTTTGCCAAGTTGTGTCAATACCCCCAGCCACCATCAGTGACAACTGTAGGGAAAAAAGGCTTGGTCTATGGAGGATCCCCCAGACAGCCACTAGAGGTGCATGCTGCAGTTTCATGGAGTTTGAAGCCATGAAACAACACTGGATGTCCTCAAACATTGTACGTGGACATCCAGCGTCTTGGAAAAACCCCACTGGAAAGCATTTATTCAATGCATTCTCATAGGAAAGGTCTAATGCACATGAGGCGCTCGTCGCGAGTCCGCACTAGGTTCCTAGACCGTGCTAATTTCCGCGCAGGAGGGACATGGGAGCTGGAATAAGGTAAGTGTTTAAAAATTTATTTTAACTCTTTACATAGCTGGGGAGGTAGGGGATTAAGAGGGACACTATAGTCTTAGGAAAACAGCTTTGTATTCTTAACACTATAGTGTTCCTTTAAGTCTAGTTTTAACTAAAGAAAGTTTTGTCAATACACAACAAACCCCATGCCTCAACACATTTCGGTCAGGACGAACCAGTGGCCCAACACGCAGAACTAAGTCAAACTGTCATGATTACGGTGTGACCCAATACGGAAAACTTTATCAACACAATCAACGTATACCGGACCTTAGAATGGCCGGACTGAATGTAAAAGATAATAGTCAAAATAACAAGCCACGGTCAGAGATACAGAATGAGACAATTCGAATAAACTAGCCAAAGGTCAGGATACCAGAAGAAGGGAAAGTCAAAAACATAAGCCAAAGTCAGAAACAGAAATATAATACCAAGAACGCGCTCTCTGACAACCAACAAAAGTAAAGTGGTTATTACGTGGCTTTTGACCCCAAAATGTGCGTGGATAACGTGACGTCAAACGCACACCGGCACCATCTGTTATGTGGGCAGTGCGCTCTTTAACATTAACCCCTTAGTGACCAGACCGTTTTTCAATTTTCTTACCGTTAAGGACCAGGGCTCTTTTTAAATTTCTGTGGTGTTTGTGTTTAGCTGTAATTTTCCTCTTACTCATTTACTGTACCTACACATATTATATACCGGTTTTTTCGGTCTTTCTAAAGATACCATTATTTTCATCATATAATTCACTATAAAAAAAATTATAAACTATGATGAAAAAATGAAGAAAAAAAAACACACACTTTTTGGAACTTTGAACCCCAAAATCTGTTAAGCATCTACAACCGCCAAAAAACACCCATGCTAAATGGTTTCTAAATGTTGTCCTTAGTTTAGAAATGCCCAATGTTAACATGTTCTTAGCTTTTTTGGGAAAGTTTTAGGGCAATAAGTACAAGTAGCACTTTGCTATTTCCAAACCATTTTTTTTTTTTCAAAATTAAAGCAAGTTACATTGTAACACTGATATCTGTCAAGAATCCCTGAATAACCCTACACATGTACAGATTTTTTAAAAGAAGACAACCTAATGTATTAAACTTTGGGTATATTGACTCTTTTCATGCAACCATTTTACCACCAATCTATGCCAAATAAAAAAAGAAATAAAAACAATTGGTGAATTTTTTTTTTTTACACACATAGCAATTTAAAGGACCACTATAGTGCCAGGCAAAAAACAAACTCGTTTTCCTGGCACTATAGTATTAATATGTCCCCCTCCCCGCCGTGCTGAAGTGGGAGGAAGGGGTTAAAAGCTTACCTTTCTCATGCACTGGGCTGGGGACTCTCCTCCCTCTTCTGCCGAATGCGCATGCTCAGCAAGAGCCGCGCGCGCATTTAGTCAGTCCATAGGAAAGCATTCTCATTGCTTTCCTATGGAAGCTGGCGTCTTCTCACTGTGAAAATCACAATGAGACAGCCACTAGAGGCTGGATTAACCCTAATATAAACATAGCAGTTTCTCTTAAATTGTTCATCAGCCAGGGGCACTAAAATATGAATAGGGGTAAATTGATGTCTTAAATTTGTTGTACGTTTTACTGTATACCATTCATATCGATATTTACACTGTGTTTACTTCTACATCTGTTATGTACATGTAACATCTGTCAATGAGAATAAAGAATAAAAAAAAAAAATAAAAAAAAAGGATACATGTACGGAGAACTTTAAGAGTTACTGCCAAAAAACACCCCAATATGTGCTCAGCAACATCTCCAAGTACAGTGATACCCCCCATGTATAGGTGTGTCGGCTTCTCTGGGGGCTAAAATACCTTATTTGGAGGGTGCGCATTCCAGTTTACCAACTTGGAATTTTCTTAGCTGGTCATCATGCACCCATGTCCTATTTGTCCCAATGTAATTTACCCCCATCAAATCATATATTTCTGAAAAGTAGACACCCTAGGGTATTTCAAATGGTGGTACTTTAACACTTTCCATGCAGTAATTCTACCATCAGTCTTTGTCAAACTTTTGGGTAGTCATTTTTTTGTGTTATTTTTCTCTCACATTGTACTTTAGGCATGGATTCTCAGTTCCTGTTATGTGGTACTGACAAAGAAACACCCAATATGTGTTCAGCAATATCTCCTGAGTACAACAGTGCTCCCAATGTACAGGTTTTATGGGCTTTTGCAAAATTACAGGGGTCAAATGTAGGGCTTTCCCCCTTTCCATGTTTGCACATTGAAATTTGCCAGATTGGTTTGCTGGGCCTATGTTGCCTTTGAGACCATATAGCAGCCCAGGAATGAAAATTAACCCCATCATGGCATACCATTTGTAAAATTAGACAACCATGGGTATTCAAAATGGGGTATGTCCAGTCTTTTGCAGTAGTCACTTAGTCACAAACGCTGGCCAAAGTTAGCGGTTTTCTTTGTATTTTGTATTTCTTTTACACAAAAACTGCACTTTTACTGGTGATTTCATCGTCAGAATATGTTTTACTGATTTATAACACTCATATTTGTGTTCAACGAAGTCTCCAGAGTATAACAATACCCTCCATGTACAGGTTTTATGGTGTTTTGGAAAGTTACAGGGTCAATATAGGGCTTGCCAGATTGGTTTGCTGTGCCTCTGTTGCCTTTTGAGACCATCTGGTAGCCCAGGAATCTGAAATAACCCCATCATGGCATACCATTTTCAAATGTAGACAACCCAGGGTAATTAATATGGGGTATGTCCAGTCTTTTGTAGTAGCCACTTAGTCATAAATGCTGGCCAAAGTTAGCTGTTTTCTTTGTTTTTTATAAAAAATATGTGTGTGTGTGTGTATATATATATATATATATATATATATATATATATATATATATACACACACACACACACACACACACACACACTTTTATTTCCTATATATGTATAATATATTATAATTAAATCATTTTATAATATATTATACATATATAATGCATATATGATTTCATCATAAGTGTGTTTTGAGATATATGAGCCTCCTGCATTGCCCGCCCTCTCCAGTGCATTTTTCAAACATCTTTTTATCTGATTTGATTCAGTAGGTCTAACCAGCACGGACTTAGTAAGCGGGTATATTTGAGCAGGGGCTATGTTTATGTCATATCTTGTTAATCACACCTTTGGCACCTTTACATAGCGATGCAGCCACCGGCATAGGAATTGTCACTATTGATACACTCTTTCCTTCGCATTAGCTAATTAACTTAGATATATATATATATATCTGTTGCCAATTCTAGGGGTCCTACTTTAGATACTTATTTTGACCAAGTCTATCGCAACTATTGTAGCAATTTCATTGTGCATAATCCCAGAACACTTCATTTGATATTACTGATTTTTACAGTCTGTGGATCGATGCACATAGATTGAATTCTTTGTCTCTCTTCCTCTAAACCCCTCTCCTCTCCGTTACACATCTATATATTAGCTGTGCTGTACATTTTGATTCTGGTAATTGCTACCAATTATTACAATTTGTATTAACTTTGGTTAATTAATTTATTGTATTTTGAATGTCCTCTCTAACTCCCCCTATCCCTCCCTTGTGTATACACCAGTGGCACAAGTGTGTTGGCTATTCTGTCTGTCCATTTGAGATAGCCAGTCTATATTACATCATTGTGTTAAAGGTAGTCTATCATGGGAATGTCTTTTCCAAATATATGAATAAAGTATTTTCTAGATTTTTAATTTATGGACAGATTCTCCTCGTTTTCTAGTTTACTCCACAATTTAGGGTTACCCCCTCTCTGTCCTTTCTACATTCGAGAATCTCATGGGCCACTTTTTTCGTTGTTTTTTTTATATATCAAAGTACACTTATAATGAAATCATATAGATGCATTATATATGTATAACATATTATAAAATGATTTAATTATTTTGTAATATATTATACATATATAATACAGACACTCCTCACTTACCGACCGGGTTCCCTTCCTATGACCTGGTCGTAGAACGAATCGGTCGATAAGTGAGGAGTTAAGGGATTCCCTGCTCTGGTGCATTTGTCTATGTTTGGGGAAACTTCTTTTCATTTACAGTTTATTTTTAATTAATTATTAGATTATATATACATAATATATTTTATATATATATATATACACACACACAAACGTGTGTAATTTTACTCTTAAGTGTATTTTTATATTAATATATGTATATATTAATACAAAAAATACTCTTAGTATGACGTTATATATAAGAGATATATATATTTACATTTATTAACTTTATTTTAATTTTTTAAACTTTTATTTAACTTTATTTTTACTTTTTCACCAGCAGGGGGACTGCCTGTCTCTTTTAGAGTGGTCGCATGGCCCCTGGGGTTCCTAAATTGGAGAGGGGGGACTCTCTGGGCTCCCTGAGCGATCACTCGGGTCCCCGGCAGTGTAGGGGAGTATTACACGATGCCTCAATTTTGAGGCATTGTGTAATACCATAAAAGCGGATGGGAGGAATCACGTTCGCTTCCATTGCTCAAATTTACCGCGGACATATCAGGTATGCCTGCGGTCCTTAAGGATCGTTTTTTGTTGGACGTACCTGGTATGTCTGCGGTCCTTAAGGGGTTAAGGACAGGAGCGCAGCGACCAGTGTCCCTTAGAATGCTGCACCAGCTGGGACCGCCGCGATCCAGGTAAGTAAAGTTTTCCCTTTTTGGCGCAACCGCCCTGCTTGTGTGCAGCCGCGCCGTGACACAAACACAGATAAAAATAACAAACAGTAACAATGTATTACCGGGCCTTACAATGGCCAGATTTAAAGCTAGGTCAGGAATACAGATAGGAACAAATACGATAAGAACAAAGCCAAATGGTCAGGTATACCAGAAATACGGGAAGTAAAGCCAAGCCAAGATCAAAAACCAATAAACAGAATCCGGAACCCGCTCTCAGATAACCAACAGGATGGAAACCACAACAGGGCACTGAACAACTGCAGGTTTGGGTTCAAATAACCCAGTAAACCCTGTTAATGACTAATTTGGGTCCCATGACCCCAGAACATGCATGCATGGCGAAAACGTGACACCGCACACACGTTCACGTCACTAGTGACGTCATTATGGACGGCCTTATTAATTAGCGCTGCCTTGCAGCGCCCGGCTTCCTTGCTAACGCTGGACCCAGCCGCTGTGTTAAGAGCTGCATGGAGGGAGAGGCACTAGAGGTAAGGGGAGTAACCTCTCCCTCCTTTAGTGTGGCCGCACCAATCAGATGCGGTAACATCACAGTGCCCGATTGGGCATCGTGACAATTTCACAGAGTCAACTCACAAGCATGTGTACTTTCAAGAACTCAAGAGTTATGCTACAAATTCCTGCATTAAACAAGAAAAACTCAGAATGTCTCAGATTGCTACTTCTACTATATCATCTGCAGAAACCAGGAAATAGCTGAAGTGTCTCAAACAATAACAGCCCATTAAGAGCTATACATAAGTAAAGGCAGATTCTGCTATTCCATTTATTCATATTAGTGGTCTATTTTTTATATCTCAAAAGAAACTTCCTCTATTTATATCATAGAATACTATATATACATGGATGGAATAAAAAATGATTTTTAAAAGTATATAGTTTTATATGTAGCCACTAAAATAATCATGTTTAAGGACTTTGAGGAATCTCTTTATTTACCTCTTTGTGATCTGTGTTGGTTCCTGTAGATTTGTGTCAAGTTCAAAATGCTCATTGTCCAGAAGCCTTCGTATGGTAATATCAGCAAGCTGCTCCATTGCCCTGAAGACCTCACTGATATCAAGGAACATAGAGAACTCCCGCTCCTTGCCACAGGTAGTCACTCTGATTATATCAGTCATGAGGACATTGGACGTTCTTTCAAGTTTCTGGATATCGACCCAAGGGATTATAAGCTTTACTGTAAATCAAAGTGAAGAAATACATATCAGTCTTATCACTTTAATGTTGGATCAGCTGCAAACCAGCTTACAGCTTTTGATGTCACAAAAACCATTGGGAATAACATAGTATTCAATTTTTGTTGATAACTAATCACAATTCAGTAGCGTGGCACTTTTAGTTTAGACTGATAAAGAGTCCCACCTCTCCAGCTAACAAGACTTATTGAAGGGACACTATAGTCACCTGAACAACTTTAGCTTAATGAAGCAGTTTTGGTGTATATAACATGCCCCTGCAGACTCACTGCTCAATCCTCTGCCATTTAGGAGTTAAATCCCTTTGTTTATGAACCCTAGTCACACCTCCCTGCATGTGACTTGCACAGCCTTCCATAAACACTTCCTGTAAAGAAAGCCCTATTTAGGCTTTCTTTATTGCAAGTTCTGTTTAATTCAGATTTTCTTATCCCCTGCTATGTTAATAGCTTGCTAGACCCTGCAAGAGCTTCCTGTATGTGATTAAAGTTCAATTTAGAGATCGAGATACAATTATTTAAGGTAAATTACATCTGTTTGAAAGTGAAACCAGTTTTTTTTTTCATGCAGGCTCTGTCAATCATAGCCAGGGGAGGTGTGGCTAGGGCTGCATAAACAGAAACAAAGTGATTTAACTCCTAAATGACAGTGAATTGAGCAGTGAAATTGCAGGGGAATGATCTACACACTAAAACTGCTTTATTTAGATAAGTGCTTTAGGTGACTATATTGTTCCTTTAAGATGTTAATCTGGGGAATCTGGAAAATAAGGAAGTGAGTTTAAGCAATGGTAAGCTATTTAATATCTTCACTGAGCTTCACCAAGCCTTCAGAAAAGAGGATCAGAAGGTAAAGTAGCCTATTTAGCTTAGCAACAATTTTACAAGTGGATGCAGAGCCAGATTTAAAAAAAATAATTATATTATTCTGAGCTGAGCAGCATAATGTGATGCTACAAAGTGAGTTCTTAGATCCTCCAAAAAGCCAGTGTAAAGAAGTTAGAGAATGTTCAGTGTGTTGATTTTTATCATTTTGATTGCAATATACATTGTTCGTAGAGTAACCATGCCTGTTTGTATGTGATGAGGATGATTATGTAAACACATTTGATGGAGGAGTTTTGTTTGTGCAACAAAGATAAATTATAAGTTATGTGTGTACCACGAGAGTGTCATGAGGGTAACGTAAGGTTGTGCATGATGCATCATTACATTGAATTCACTGAAGGCCATGTACCGTGTGAGTGCTTTAGGGTGCCTGAATGCTGTTTTATGTGAAGTGAGTGCCACAGGTGATTAGATAATAGTTGTATAAAATTGCAGAGCATGGCATTTAAGGATCTAGATTATATTTGTTAAGTCTTTAAAAGGACAGTAGCCATGATGTACAACAACAAAACATCTTCTGATCTCCATCTAAATGAATAATAGGTACTGCAAAAGGTTCCGAATGGTGAATGTACTGATGTGAATGAATACTAGATTTGATTCGATTTCTGTCCGCTTAAAATATGTAACCTCCAGTAATCCCTTTTAGTCTAATTTATAGTATATAGTATTATCTCTAGCATAAAAATGTGTGAGATTTAGTTTTCCACTCTAATTAATTAATTTCAGAAGGGGGTTCTGGGCACGGTTATCCAAGAACTCATGAACAGATGGAGCACGCAGCATTACTTCATGCTATCTGCGGATTCTCAGAGAAAGCATGTCCCAGACACACAAAAATCAAACAATAGAAGAAAATTGTACCAAAAGAGATATAGATCAAACTTCATTACTGGATGTGTAAGGCTCTTCGAAAGACAGTGTAGATGTCAGGTTTACCTTAACGCAAAACATTAAAATGAATATATATTCAGTGCTAACCTACATGTTCGCAAATGTTCATATAAGATTATTTATTGGTAGGTAAATGTTTCTGAGCCTCTTGCAAGTGCTCTGTGGGGCTGTGT